CCGGCCACGCCCCCTCCGCCATGTTGTATATGTTGAAAACCGTGCGTTCTACAATGTACATATACATATTATTACTGCAATTGTAAGACATGAGGTTCACGACGTGCCGTGTGTGTATGTGGGATTAAAATATAATATGGACATTGTTCAAAATAATCCGGCTGTTTTATTGGCCGCCCGCCCATTTTCCCCACCACTTTCAGGCCACGCCCATTGCAGCGGACGGTACGTATAGTAGTGGGGGGGGGGCAAACGGTTTTTGTTTGGTGCGCAACAGCCAGTGGCGGCGGAAGTTGTAGGGGGAACGCAGCCATTCTCAAAATCTCAAAAATCACCAAAAATTAACTTCCACACCGACTTATTTCTTAAAAAATTTTTACAAATTTGCCGAGAATCGCCCTAAAAGACTTTTTTCTCCCTATCCAGAAAAGTTCAGTTTTTGCCTCTGATTTTCCAAAGAATTGAAGAACAAAAATCACGCAAAATGGCCAACAAAACAACATTTTTCTTGCGCAGAGGAGAAATTCTGCTGTTTCCAGTGGCGTCCAACTCAAATCGACTTTTGACCGGAGAAATGATCACAAAAGCACAAAAACCACCCAAAAATGCCTGTAAAACAACCTGCATTCTGCTCAAAAAAAAAAATGGGCAAACAGAAAATTGCCAAAAATCCCCAAAATTCAAGTTCGAAAAACCCTTAATCCTCCATAGAGAGAAAAGCCTGCCATTTCCAGCGTTGTCACATTCAACTTTTCCGCTTTCCCTGAAGTTCGGAAATTTCCGAAACTCCTCAAAAAATGTTCAAGAAACTTCATAAATAGAAAACTGGCTCTTTCCAGTGGCGTGACAGTCAATTTTGCCCTCTTGCCGTGAAGTCGAGACATTAATTAATGAGTCAAAGATCACAAGCAAAAACTGTCTCTCTTGAGGAGGGAAATTTTCAAAAGCTTCTCAAAAATCACCCAAAAAGGCATTAAAAACCGCCGTTCGCCTCCTTGAAGATGAAAGTCCAGCCGTCCCAGCTGCGTCACACTCACCTTTCCCTCAAATGCAGAAAATAATTAACAAAACACTGAAAACGCCAGAGCAATTTTGCAAAAAAAAAAATTCAAAAAATTGCTGAAAATTTCAGAAATTGGCCGTCGAAACAACCTTCACCATCCATAGAGAACACGCTTTGCCCTTTCCAGTGGCGTCACATTCAACTTTCACTCTGCTCCTAAAGTTGAGGAATTAATTAATCAAACATGGACTGAAAGTGCGAATTAAGGTTGGAAGCAAAATTTTGAAAAAAATTACAAAATCGCCGAAATTTTCCAGTGGCGTCACACTTAACTTTCCCGCTTTCGCTAAGGTGGGGGAATTAATTCATTAATCAGAAACCGAAAAGGCAAATTGATGAAAATGACTTAAAATTTATAACATTTTGAGAAAATTTTTCATGCGGGTTTTTTGAGCTCAAACGGTTCCTTTCGACGTAAGAACGTCAGAAATGTGCATTTATAGGGTGAATAATTGGGAAGAAATCGACGGCCGAGGATCGTGAAGGCTCAAAATCGCTTAAAATGTGCCGAAAATGTTGATTATTTC